CGATTGGAGCATTTAACGAAAGATAATTAGGGGACAAGCCACGCACAAGCTGGGTGAAATGAAAACGCAAATAAAGACTGTAAGTGCTGAAGATATTCTGTGAAATGCTTCTAAAATCTAAATAAAACAGTGTTTCATTGTAAAGCAATTATTTCAGATATTTGTCATTTTTTTTAATAGGCTGTTTTACCGATCCCTGTAAAATAGACAAACATGATTTAAGCTTATTTTACCGGTCGAGGTAAAATAGACAAACATGTTATGAATAATCTGTTGCAGTTTTTTGTGTATATATATCTACTAGAGAGCCAAACCACATGACTTGACTCACTTTATAGTCCACCTATAGAAAAAGAAATAAAAAAACAAATAAAAAAAACAATTTGATTACATTATGAATACTAAAAAAAAAAAAAAAAGAATTTTTCTGAATACTAAAGTATTTGCTCCATATTAATATTGACTTTACTAATATTTTGAAAGAAGATTCGATAATATACCCAAAAGTGAGCAGGTGTTGCAGTTTTTTGTATATATATATATATATATATATATATATATATATATATATATATATATATATATATATATATATATATATATTTCTTTGAGCCAACCTGAATGACTTGACTCACTTTATAGTCCACCAATAGAAGGTTAACCAATCAGAAGACGTAGAATATTCAATCCGTCGTGTATAAAGACGGCCATTTTAACTACTCTATCCGAATGTCCAGTACCAGCTTGTCAGACGAAGAGGAACTGAAGGAAGAACTACGCTCTGTTACATTACCGGGATATCCACTGCTAACCTGAACAACGCTTCCCTACTGTCTTCGAAATATTTCACTGCTAACCTCTGGATTCTATACTCAAAGACGACCGTCATCATGAACAACATAATCAAGAATTGTCTCCCCTTGTTTTGTTACTCCCCTATTTGAGAGAGCTATTTCTGTTTACTGGGACTGTAAAAGGACACTATACGCGAACCTTGTATTCTCAGTTGAATAAAGCTTTCTTAATACCTACACTTGAGTAATTTTGTCATTACAACCCAAGCTATTATGCCGGTAAATATTTTTTTATTATGAAGGCGGGTAATATTAAAAATGACAACTCACAGATTCAATACAGAAGTTTATTTATTTTCATCATAATGGAGCCTTGAGATCGTCAGCGCAGTGCTGGCCTGAGCTGTATAGGCAGGTCTTGAACAACGTAGACTCTGTGGTCTGTAATTGATGTCTTCACTGGGTGCACCTAAAGTGTATTGGCAAGAGAACCATGTCCAAGGGCACGTTTTGGATTTTCAGAGATTGTTATGCCTGAAGTTTTTTTTTTTGTTTTTTTTTAAGCATTTCGCCCCAAGCAAGGCTGGAAGCCACTAGCACGCAAGGGGTTACATAGGATTTGGAGCGTGAGCAGATAGGAGTGATAGAGAAAAGGATGAAGAGAAGGATAGGGGATAAATCAAAGCAACTGGAGATGTCTATTGACATTACATTTGAATAGTTGGAGATTATAGCTATCAGGGAAACAGGAAAAGGGAGTTCCACAGGCGAGAGGTGCGAGATATGAAGCTATTGGGGTAGAAGAGACGGCTACATTTAAAGTGCTTAAAATGTTCAAAGACGTCTATATTTCTTTTAATAATTGATGATGAGTAAATGATTTTAACTTGTGTTTTAACAATTGATCGTGGAAATTATTTTAAATTGTTTTCACAGTTGATGGTAATAATAAATAAACTTCCCTGTTAAATCTGTGTGTTCTTATTTTTAACATTACCTGCTGTTATGAACAATCAAGAGTGATCTCCCCTTGTTTTGTTACTCTCCTCTTTGAGAGAGCTATTTCTATTTACTGGGACTATGAAAGGAACCTTGTATTCACAGTTGAATAAAGCTTTCTTAAAGCCTGCATCGGTGTACTTTTGTCATTACGTACCTAACAACAAATCGAATATAGCGTCAAAATTTATATTATCTTTATATATTTGTTATGTAGCTAAATACATAATCGTCAACAATGTTTCTGTAAAACTTGATATTCCCTGTAATAAATTCTTAATAGGTATTATTGTTATTATTTTACTGTAATTATTAATTTACGGTAATTATTTATTGTAAATGTAGGTAGTCCTAGATTTACAATTTCTTACGGCTAACCATGAAAAGAAATGTCGATGAAAACTACCTTTAAGCGCGTGTGGCCGCAAAATTATCAATTATTGAATACGCCCCTCCCCCGCCGAACGTGTCATATAGTCTAGCCGATTTCATAACAAAAGTGATGGAAACCTGAAACAAAATAAAAGAAATTAAATGAAATCAGTTCCACTATATACCCAAAACATATACAATGGAACCTCGGTTCACGAATTTAATACGTTCCTGAAGGCCATTCGTAACCCGAAATGTTCGTAAACTGAAACTATTTTTCCAATTGGAATCAATGTAAAATGGATTAATCCGTTCTTGGCCCCCAAGAAGATTGCTTATTTAAACTTTTACAAGAGTGCTTTGTGCACAAGTTTATACATAAAACTGATTTAAATCATTAAAAAAATAAATAAACCCAATACTAGATAAAATATAGACGGACACTTTAATTTCACCATACCTGTAAGTAGGAGAATTGATGACGTAAGTGGAAGAAGAAGGAAAGAGATGTTATTGTTTAGGAAAAGGGGAAGGAAAGACATGATCGTCTCTTTATTTATAAGAATAGTACATAGATTGTTGATTTTGCCATATGAAACTGAGTAGGAAGAGACACTATCATCAACAGTTATTTTTCTCTTAAATTTTCTTTTTCCCTTACCGATATCACTGCTGCTTTCTTTGGAGCCATGACTGAGGAGGAATGAATAGAAAAAAAGGCACAGTACAATAAAATTGGTAAAGAAAAGCACAGTACATGAATGTATACAACATGGCGGTCGACTAAGAAATGATTCCTTTCGGGTTAACTCGGTTCAGCTAGGTTCAGCAATGTTGTTCCAGAAACGAAAGTTTGTTTGATAACTGAGGCATTTTCATCTCGAATATTCTGTTCGAAAACCGATTTGTTCGACATGTGAGACGTTCGAGAACCGAGGTTGCTCTGTATTTAAATAATAAAATAAGAGATTTTTAATTTAAAATTTTAAACTGTTTCAATGGTTAACGAGCTTGAACAATTACAACTGAATTATAAGTTCGATTCTCATGGTTTCGGCTTCTTTTGTTTTATGGCATATCAACACCTCAATGGGTTGTTTAATGCCGACAAGTTTTTTTTCACTGCTGGTAATATTTTTTTTTTTAAAACAAATGTATTCCTGGTAATGTTTTTGTTTTCTTTAATGTAGTGCTGGTAATTTTTTTCTAAAATGTATTGCTGGCAATATATATATATATATATTTTTTTTTAAATGTATTGCTGGTAATATTTTTTCTTACTTATGAGTATAGAGTAGGAAATGCTCAGTAATTTAATACACTTTCATAATCGTGAAATTTTGCCCAGTATTTTTCAAGAGAAAAGAGTGCTCCGAGTAAACTGTCAAACATGACTTACTATGTTCCGCTTAGTCGAATATGACAAAAATTAAGGATGACATACTAGGGAAGAATCTTAAAATACTAAAAGTGGTCTTCCCGATTAGCTTCATTATCAAATCTCTACTGTATACTAATAAATAGTAATATTACTATTTGCACCCGTGAACAACACACACTTTTGCGTTACACCCAGGAAGATGATCTTGGAAGAAGATCGAAAGTACTTGGGAAATGCAAAATAAAAAACGATTTTTATCTATATACATACATACATACATACATATATATATATATATATATATATATATATATAGTGTGTATATATATATATATATATATATATATATACATATATATACATATATATACATATACATATATATGCATATATATATATATATATATATATATATACATGTATATACATATATATATATATATATATATATATATACATATATATATACATATATATAGAGACATACATACATCTATATACATGCATATATACATACATATATATACATACATAATATATAGATATTCACAAACACACACGCACACACACAAATATATATATATACATACACACACACAAATATATATACATACACACACACACACACACACACACACACCCACACACATATATATATATATGTTCAGCTTTCGGGACAAATTGTTGATGACGGACGATCTATATAAATGAAAAACAATTGGATCATTTAATAAATGAATATTAATTAGCGAACCAGCCACTCATGAAAACTTAAAATCAAGACTACGAGTACTAGAAATATTTTCAAAATGCTTCTAAAATCTAAGTAAAGGAGCGTTTCCTTGTAAAACAATCCTTCCAGATATTTTGGGGCTTGACGACATATTGACCTCGAACGTAAACCTATCACATATTTCTCGGCTTATACACGAATATGTGCGGTGATTTTCCTCTCGAAAATATTTTGTCGAAATCAGCGTTTTTTATTTATTTATTTTTTTTGTTTTTTTACCCCATCCTCCTAGTATGCCACGTTTCAAATTGCGTACTTCGAAAGACATGAAGTATTAAATGACTTACGCATTCAGGTTTGAGACCAGAAGTGATCAATTATTTCGCTTGAGTCTAACGTCCCGGAAGTGTAGCCATTTGTCAGTGAAAATGTTTACAGCTTGAACCTTTTGGATGTAGTTTGAGATTAATAGCATAAAACATATTCCTCTCGACTGGCCTTACTTTTCCAGGCAAGGCAGTACCTTAGACATTTCCCCCTGTGTAGGTATCGAACCATTTTCCCCTTTTCAGAGGATCAAAGTTTGGTGATTAATTTCCCAGCCTGCCTACAATATGTTTGGGTTTTTCCGGCGGAAGTCAGACCTCTGTTGTAGTCCCGGACGACACACAATCTATTTTCTGATGTTGAAAAATCCAGGAATCCCCAATCTTAGTGACCTTTAGCCAGGGTTGTCAAGCGATGTTTTTCCGATGTACAGAATGTTGGATTTTATCATATAAGCCAAAGTTTTCAGAATGAGAGAGAGAATGTGAGAAAAAGAGAGACAGAATGAAAAAAGGAGAAAAAGAGAAAGAAAGAAAGAAAGAAAGAAAAAGACAGAGAAAGAGAAAGTGAGAGATAAAGAGTCAGAAAGAGAGAAAGAGAAAGGGATAGAGAGAGAGAGAGAGCGAAAGATAAGGTGAGAGAGAAAGAGAGAGACAGAGACTGAGAAAAAAGATAAAGAAAGAGAGAGACAGAGAGGGAGAAAAAGACAAAGAAAGAAAATGAGAGAGAAAGCGAAGGTGAGAGACAAAGAGATAGAGAGAGAAAGAGACAGAAAGAAAAAAGATAAATAGAGAGACAGAGACGGAGAAGAAGATAACGGAATAGAGAAAGACAGAGAGAGACAGAGAGGGAGAAAAAGAGAAAAAGAAAGAGAGAGAGAAAGAAATGGAGAGGGAGAAAGAGAGAGAGAGAAAGTAAGAGAAAGAAAGATATACAAAGAGAAAGAGATGTCCTTCAGAATGTTGGATTTTATTATATAAGCTTTCACAATGAGAGAGAGAGAGAGAGAGAGTGAGGAAAAGAGAGACAGAAAGAAAAAGGGAGAAAAAGAGAGTGAGAAAGAAAAAGAGAGAGAAAGTGAAAGATAAAGAGATAGAGAGAGAGAAAGAGAGAAAGAGAGAGAGAGAGATAGAGAGAGAGAGAGAGAAAGAAAAAGTGAGAGAGAAAGAGAGAGACAGAAACGGGGGAAAAATAAAGAAAGAGAGAGAGAGACAGACAGACAGAGAGGGAGAAAAAGACAAAGAAAGAAAATGAGAGAGAAAGCGAGAGACAAAGAGATAGAGAGAGAAAGAGAGATAAAGAGAGAGAGACAGAGACGGAGATAAAGATAACGTAACAAAGAAAGAGAGAGACAGAGAGAGAGGGAGAAAAAATAAAGAGAGAGAGAGAGAAAAAAGAAATAAAGAGAGAGAAAGAGAGAGAGTAAGAGAAATAAAGAGATACAAAGAGAAAGAGAGAGAAAGAGGCCCCCCTCTCTCGACGTGGTGTTTTAAGCCAAAGTCTGAACACGTTAGTCTTGCGTAGTAAGTAGTCGTTTTACTTCTCGTAGACTAGTTGCCAACCAAGAATGGAAAGCCGACTCTGGCCTGCTATTTAACCCATAGTTGGGAGAAGAAATGGATGCATGCCTTTCCGAAGAGTTTTTGTGACGGAATTCGAAATCGCCATGATGATCACACTTGGTATTGGTATGGAAATTGGAGGGGGGGAGAAAAAGAGAGTGAGGAATCCTTCTCACTCTACGTGGAGATTTGATCCACAACCTGAGCACGCTAGTGTTACATAGCAAGTAGGCGTTTTACTTTAACTCGATATTTAACCCATAGCTGGTGGTACGGGAAGAAGGAAAGGATTCATGATTTTCCGAAGAGTATTTGTACGAAAATCAATGCAACGACCTCGGTCGGAATTCGAACTCGTCATGCCGATTCCACTTGCCGCGCTAGTTACGACTAGGGTACGTTAACATGTAAAATAAAGTCGTCAATCTTATAGTGTAAATAAATATTAAGAATTAATAATATCGTTTTTGATACTTTTTTAAAAAATTTCATTTCGCTAAAGGTTGCTATAGGCCATAAGAAAGTTCTTCCAAAAAGAAACAACGTATTGTAAAATCTTAGAAAATTTCCAACAAGCTGAATAGACCTCAAAGAACAATTAAAATAAGGAATTGAAAACATTGGAGGGATAAGAAGGAAAAAAACGGCTTTAAGAATGTGGGAGAAAAAAGATTTGAGAAATACTGAAAAGATATTAAGCCAAAAAAGACAATATTTCAAGAATTCAGTGTTACTAATGGAATCAACACTAAGTTGTGGCGTAATGGAATCAAAGAGAAAAGATTCAGAATATTAAGAATATTGGCTTAAGGCATGAAAGCAATAAAACTGCATCATATAATCATCATAAAGAGAAACACGTAATTTACATTATTTTTCACATGAAAACTGATTTTTCAACAGTAACCTTTAGTGATGAATATAGAGCTAATTTGGCTGGGTTCTCCAAGGAAATAGTCAACCAACACAACTTGGAAGACAATAGTAGGGGAGGTGTAGTAATATTTTCGACTAGTATTATAGTCAGTGAAATTACAGGTTGATTAACCTGATAGCTGGGTCCTTCATCAAAATAGTCAACCAACATAACAAAGATTAAAAGGATAATAAGCAAAAATGTGGATTGACCAATAAGCCAATATTTCAAGAAGTCAGTGTTACTAATGGAATCAGAAAGAAAATATGCAGAAATATTAAGAATATTGGCTAAAGGCATGAAAGCAATCAAATTATTATATTTAATTATCAGAAAGTGAAACACGTACGAGGATGGGCTGAAAAGTTCTGAGGCTGACTACGAACGAATGGTGACAGATCTGTAGAAATCTTGCATGGATTAATTTTAACTCTTAAAAATATTAAAAGGAGAAATCTCTAAGTTTGGTGAAGAAGTACATGAAAACTGATTTCTCAGCAATATTTTCAGTAATGAATATCAAGCAACATTAAATTGTTTCTCATGTTTGGGCTTAAAACTGGGACCTTCAGGGGAATATTCAACCAATCTGAATGCGTTGACAAGAGAGAGGATGTGAAGTAATTTGAGAAAGGTATAAAAAAGAGACATAAACACCAAAAGTGGATTGACCAATAAGACAATATTTCAAGAATTCAGTGTTGCTAATGGAATCAAAACTAAGTGCACAGGTTGTGGCATAATGGAATCAGAAAGAAAAGATGCAGAAATATTAAGAATATTGGCTAAAGGCATGAAAGCAATCAAATTATTACATTTAATCATTATAAAGTTTAAATACACAAGGATGGTCTTCGTCCTACGTAAGACGATAAACTACATCTGGCAGCAAGGCCTGTGATCATGAGGTTTTGAGGAGCATGAAATCACCTCTTAATTGCTGATGTTCTCAGGTCCACACTGACTCGGGGTGGTATCACCTGTTAGGGTCCCAACTATGGGAAAATAGTTAACCCACAAACTGGGGTCAAAACACTATGAAAATGTAAAAATAGGTTCTAATACCAGCAATAAATTTTTGTAAAAGATTATTACAAGCAATAAATTTTTGAAGAAAAAAAATTAGCAGCAATACAGTTTTGGAAAATAAAAATCTTGTCGGAATTAAATAACCCATTGAGATTAATATGCCACAAAACAAGCTAAACCATACCAAACGAGGATGGGCTGAAAAGTTCTGAAGCTGACTATGAAGGAATGGTGTAAGAATTTGTGAAATCTTGCATGGATTAATTTCACCTCTTAAAAACATTAAAAGTAGAAAATGAAGAAGTACATGAAAACTGATTATTTTAGCAGTATTTTCAGTAATGAATATCAAGCAACATTAAATTGTTTCTCATGGTTGGGTTTGAAACTGGGACCTTCAGGGGAATAGTCGACCAATCTGAATGCGTTGACAATAGAGGGGATGTGGAGTAATTTGAGAAAGGTATTTAAAAAAAAAATAGATATGTAAAATATTAAAAATATAGTAAAAACAAAAAAAAATGGTTTGATTAATAATAAAATATTTCTGTTGAAACTTGACTAATGCATGGAATAATAATGCAACACAAAATGTACTTAGAACAAAATGTATTGAAACAAGAAAGTGTACACAATATTTACATATAGTCTTTTGTATATTCCTGGTAAGACCGTTCCTGGAGAATGTGTTGACTGAGTCGCAGTCGGGCAGAGTCTCTGGTTGAATCTCTTGATTCCTCCCTCTCTTCCCGGTACCAACCATATTTACATGGTCGGTACTCCACTATGCAAATTAGGTGGATCCTACCACAACAATTTCAAGTGTGTGTTGCTAACGGAATCAGAATAAAAAGATGCAGAAGTATGTTGGCTAAAAACTTTCAAACGACCAAAAAGAGAGATCTACAAGATGGGTGAAGAAGTACATGAAAACTGATTTCTCATTTGTCGTTTTTTAAAGATGGACGAAGAGCTAGATTGGATGGGCTCCAGTTTAGGTTCTTCGTGGATATAGTCAAAAAGTGCATCTCATTTCTAGGAAATACTTATATATATATATATATATATATATATATATATATATATATATATATATATATATATACCATATGAGTCTCAGCTTATCTGTTTGATCTTTTTATGAGAACCATTTTATTAATCGAATTTATCCCAAGCAAGGCAATAAAGCCACTAAGACACAAAGGGTTAAACATTATGAAGGAACGGGAACAAAAGAAAAGTTTTACTATAAGTTATTTGGTGGTTTAGATTCTATTATTATTGTATAAGAGTAAATGTCATTGCCGACACCGTGGTTTGAAACTAGATCGCCAGTGAGTGACACGGGCGATTGGAGTATTAAGTATATCACGTGATCATAAAGGAAGTGAATAAATAGGAAGTAGCGTGATCACTATACGATCTCTGTTTCACTCTTCGTGTCTATCTACTATTGTTATACGTTCACTCTCTCTACTACTATACGCATTACGATTCTCTCCTGATAATTATACTATTTGACAATTACTACTTGGACAAGTATTACTAGTGCGGATATTAGTGGAAGACGTTACTACTACTAATACTGGCGTCTGCGAAGTCCACAATATAACGAGCATTTTGGGAAGTGATAACGAACTGTCGCTTGACATAGGAAAAGTAACAAGCGAAGCCGCCCAACATCACTAAAATCATGCAACTTAAGATTTGTTCATCATATTGTAAATAAATATACGGGGTACAATGGGTAAATTGTGGCCATTATACATTTTTGATTTCGCGCATGCGCGTTGTTTGTTTCTGATTTTGTCGACGACACAGTATAGTAGAGTCAGTTGGGCGCCGTCTGTGAGAAAAAGAGCACCCTGACGCAGTTCTTTCCGTCAGAAATTTTGAAAAGGCATTCTCTACTGCTTGGCATTCGCGTGGGAAGCTCTATTAAGAACATCAGATTCAACACGGAGGCCTATATCAAGTGACTTGGGTCAACAGTGTGGCTGCTGGAAGACCCTATGTCTGGAAACAGGACTCTGCACCATGCAACACAAGTAGGAGAATCCAGTCATGACTGTCAGACAATTTCTGTAACCACATCACCCCTTATATCTGGCCATCTAACTTTCCAGACTGCAACCCCACCTTGATTATTATGTGTGGGGCGGAGTTGAGCGAGTGACTGACAAAACTCCTTGTAAAACCAAAGATGAACGGAAGGCAAGGATTATGGCAGCATTCACCAACTTAAACAAGAAAACCGCCCAGAAGAGTTGCTTGAGATTGCAAAGTCGACTGGAGGCAAAGGTTGAAGCCAATGGCGATTTTATTGCATAAATTTACTCTTTAGTATTTCAAGATATTTTTTGTGTCATTTTGGTAAGTATAACTTTTAAAATGAGATGTCGGTGTTATTTTCATTTTTTGCTGCATTTAGATGACAATTTATCCATCGCACCTATATATATATATATATATATATATATATATATATATATATATATATAAAGGATAAAATTTATAGTTTTAAAGTGTGTTTACATTTATGGGCTAAATTGATCACTAGCAGGGATAGAGCGTATGCATTATTATCCCCGTACCACCCAATTCTAAATCCCACCCAAATCTAAAAATATTTTCTGGCTTTAAATAAAACCTGCAATGGGTTGATAAGCCGTAAAAATGAATGAATCTATCAATCGGTCAACTGAAGCTATACTTACACAATAAAAACGACCAATAAATAAATAAAAACAATTATAATTACATCTGGCCACCTAACTTTCTGCGACGACATAACCCTTTACATCTGGCCACCTAACTTTCTGCGACGACATAACCCTTTACATCTGGCCACCTAACTTTCTGCGACGACATCACCCTTTACATCTGGCCACCTAACTTTCTGCGACCACATCACCCTTTACATCTGGCCACCTAACTTTCTGCGACCACATCACCCTTTACATCTGGC